GGTCTACTGACGGGCCCGGCCGGCAGGATCCGTCGAGAAACAGGGGGGTCAAGGGAGGTTTTCTTCCCCTGGGAGAAAATTTACGGGCCTGCTGACACGGTCCGCTGACCGGTCACGGCCGCCCGGAGAGATCAGGCCCCCGGCCAATCTCCGGACACTTAGCCTCCTGGCGGGCCTCCAGGGGGTCTGAGGCGGGGCTGAAGGCTGCAGTCGGTCTACTGACGGGCCCGGCCGGCAGGATCCGTCGAGAAACAGGGGGGTCAAGGGAGGTTTTCTTCCCCCTGGGAGAAATGTCCTATGGGTTTTTGGATCTGCGATATAAAAAAGTCTTGTCTCGGTCACGTGATGTGTCACGTGACCGGTCAGGTGAGCCTGTCAGCCGGGTCACGGCCCCTGTCAGCCGGCTGACATGTCACGGGCCTGCTGACACGGTCCGCTGACCGGTCACGGCCGCCCGGAGAGATCAGGCCCCCGGCCAATCTCCGGACACTTAGCCTCCTGGCGGGCCTCCAGGGGGTCTGAGGCGGGGCTGAAGGCTGCAGTCGGTCTACTGACGGGCCCGGCCGGCAGGATCCGTCGAGAAACAGGGGGGTCAAGGGAGGTTTTCTAAAAAAGTCTTGTCTCGGTCACGTGATGTGTCACGTGACCGGTCAGGTGAGCCTGTCAGCCGGGTCACGGACCCTGTCAGCCGGCTGACATGTCACGGGCCTGCTGACACGGTCCGCTGACCGGTCACGGCCGCCCGGAGAGATCAGGCCCCCGGCCAATCTCCGGACACTTAGCCTCCTGGCGGGCCTCCAGGGGGTCTGAGGCGGGGCTGAAGGCTGCAGTCGGTCTACTGACGGGCCCGGCCGGCAGGATCCGTCGAGAAACAGGGGGGTCAAGGGAGGTTTTCTTCCCCCTGGGAGAAATGTCCTATGGGTTTTTGGATCTGCGATATAAAAAAGTCTTGTCTCGGTCACGTGATGTGTCACGTGACCGGTCAGGTGAGCCTGTCAGCCGGGTCACGGACCCTGTCAGCCGGCTGACATGTCACGGGCCTGCTGACACGGTCCGCTGACCGGTCACGGCCGCCCGGAGAGATCAGGCCCCCGGCCAACCTCCGGACACTTAGCCTCCTGGCGGGCCTCCAGGGGGTCTGAGGCGGGGCTGAAGGCTGCAGTCGGTCTACTGACGGGCCCGGCCGGCAGGATCCGTCGAGAAACAGGGGGGTCAAGGGAGGTTTTCTTCCCCCTGGGAGAAATGTCCTATGGGTTTTTGGATCTGCGATATAAAACAGTCTTGTCTCGGTCACGTGATGTGTCACGTGACCGGTCAGGTGAGCCTGTCAGCCGGGTCACGGACCCTGTCAGCCGGCTGACATGTCACGGGCCTGCTGACACGGTCCGCTGACCGGTCACGGCCGCCCGGAGAGATCAGGCCCCCGGCCAACCTCCGGACACTTAGCCTCCTGGCGGGCCTCCAGGGGGTCTGAGGCGGGCATAGCGTTGCCGTTCCGTATCCTTGTCGGATCAGTAAACCAGGGTGGTTCTTATAGTAGTTTTAGTCAAATTCAAGCGGCAAGAGAAAATTGAGCTAAAAATGTTGGCTCCGTCAATTTATGTACCTTTTTCGTTGCCAGGGCTGCCGGGCCATCCAAGACAAGAAGGGCAATGTTGAGCAAAACCTTCCTCTATTTGATATGAATAGGCGTGTATAGTTGACTAAATAATCATGAGGAGGCTCGGGGTAGGTATTCAAATGATTTGAATCTTTCCAACGGCCTCCAGCCCGTGTTGAGGGGTAGGGGGTAGTGCAAACTTCTCGTATCAATCTAAAACACTTGTAAACGACCTCACACTTGCCCCGTCTCTTCCCTATCCCACTACTCCCAATGTACTCAGGGACTGTTTGCTCAGCTGCTGAGCGCAGTCAAGGACCATGGCCCCTCAATGCTAACTCCTGAAACTGCCAGGCAAGTACTGAGATCAAACAGCTCAATTCTTGGCTGAGAATCACACCTATAGTAGGTTGAGGGTGTTGCATCTCATCGAAATTTGCACTTGCGTACCAAAGCACTCATCAGCTATAGGTGATGGTTGTTCACTTCCAGAAGAAGGGAAACATGAAGGGAACCGATCAGAGAAGCAACCTTCGAAGACATGAAGGAAATTCGATTCTCCTTGTTGTGTTGACGCCCTAGCTTCCTTTACCTGAATGCTTCGTCGGTTGAATAAGAAACATATTTCAAGAGACTTCCTGTTGCTTTGCCATGATTGCGTTTTTTGTGGCTTCTCCCAACCTATTGTTATATGGCGGTGTCATTTGTGAGGAGGTGAGGAGTTTGAGAGGCTGGGGGAAGGAGAGGGGAGGGGTTGGAAGGGAAATGGACGCCTGGGAGGCCAGGCTAGTTGATATGCCTGATCGCTGCGAGAGGAGATGCCGGAGGAGAGACCGTGTTTACTCAAGACCACTAGCGAGGAAGGCAGGAGGGCGAGGAGGACATGAGAGGAGAGGAAGGAGAAAGCTACGGGTAGAGACGGTTTACTTGACAGCACTAATGAGGAAGGGATGCTTCAGAGCCTCCAGTGCTGTAATCCTCGTGCGGGGATCGATGTTGAGGCAGCAGTTGAGGAAGTCCCAGATCGCATGTTTCTCATCCACCTCCAGCCAGTCCTTGCATCCCGCATGTGCGCCCAGGGAGCTTGACAAGGTCCGCCATGTTTGCTTGAAACCGCGGGCATAGCTGAGATGCAGTTCCAATGGTGGAATCTGAATGACATCAAGTTAGCAACCTCAGGCCTCCCGCCACCATATCACCCTCATCCTCATCCTCTTGATACAACAACGCCGACGACAACAATTTTACCTTAACGTCGAGGAGCTTCCACACAGCATCCATGCTCTTGATGTACATGCGCAAGCTGCTCAGACAGTCAGACAAGCGCACTTCCAAGGTACACAAAGAGCGTACCCGTAGATCTCCATCGTTGCCGTGACTATGTCGTTATACTGGAACCATTGGAACTGTGTCGTGCGGCACAGCAGGGTAAGCAGTACTACCCCAGCAGCCCACACGTCCACTGCTGTGGTCTGGCACTGCATGCCCATGAGCACTTCGGGCGCTCGGTATCCCCGAGTTCCCGCGCGTTTGACTGGACGTTCGAATTTGACCCCTGAGTTCCTCACTGTCACCGATGCGTTCGTCTTGCTGACGCCCAACATGATCCGCCTCTTCGCCATCTGCTGCGCCATCTCTAGCTTCTCCTGCTCCTTTTGATTCCGCGAGGAGCGAGAGCTGGCCGTAGAAACCTCACAGGGCAAGATGTTGCCGATGCTGCGGCCTGATGACTGCATTTGTTTCTCTGCCAGCCCAAAGTCCACAAGCAAGTACTTCTTATTCCTTCTGTCGTAGAGGAAGTTATTCAATTTCACGTCTCGATGTATAATAAATGTATAATGTATAAGACAGTTCTTGCTCAAGACCGAGTTTAATGCACACTGTGACACGAAACCACTGAGAATTGAGGCAGCACTGCACATGAGAGACTCCCGACTGTATGCTAGAATATGGAACTCAAGCATCATTGCAACGCCGCCGCTGTTCCGATGACACGGATCGGACCGGGTACGGCCCGGTACCGCCGGGCATTGCCGCCGCGTGGGGCCGCCGCCTGGCTCGGAACTTGACTCTCACCGTTCAACGGTTGACTCACCGGCTCGGCGGTAGCCTTGAAGCCTCAGAGGTCCCGGAGAGTCCGGCTCGCCCGGCCGGGCGGCGGTCGGACCGTACCTTCGGAGTTTTCAGCCTGTGTTCAATTAACTCAGCGGGGCGGTAGTATCTGATCGGACGGACTGGCCGCACGGCTGGCATGCTGATCCCGGCATTAATCAGCAGTGCCGACGGTGACCGTCTCACTGAGCCTCCGCCGGGCGGCGGCGGCCGGGCGGAGCCCGCCGAGTCAGTCACTCAGCGGCTGAGTGCCGCGCCAGCCCGGCGCTCAGCTGACTCAGTGACTCGGCCTTGGAACCGCCGCACGGTGCCTGCTTGCCAGCGCCGGGGCCGGGCGGCCCCGGTACTACGGTAGCCTGAGTCACGGTGTCATCGGACACAACTTGAACAGTCCGGGAGGTCGGCATAACTTAACATAAACTGATGGCATGCCAGGCTTCAGTCGGAACTTGGAACACTCAGTGCGCCCGAAATGACTCATGATTCAGGGCCACAAAAAATACTAAGTTTCACTGTGGAACACGGCTTGACTGAAATTGAGGGGGTGTTCGGCCTGAAATCTTTGTGTGTCACTCAGCGGCCGGCCCGGGGCGCAAGCAAGTCCAACCTACATCGAACAACTTGAAAATTGAGGGGGTGTTCGGCCTGAAATCATTGTGTGTCACGCTCCTCCAAGTTTCAAGTTGTTCCATATAGTTTGGAGCAAGTCCAACCTACATGGAACTTGAGTCACGGTTGCCGCGGTGCAAGGGACTGAAGGGGAGGTGACTGCTGTGAATAAAGGAAGTGTTGGTGGTGTTGTGTGGTTCCGAAGTTCTGAGAGTTCTATCATCATCAGTGAAGGTGTTAGAGGCTGCACAGCTGTGTATCGTTCAGAGGTGAATAAGGTTGGGGTAAGGATCTCAGGTGTACTGAGAGATAGTGTTTGCCACGGTGGACATGATCTTGGGTTAAATAGAGTCTGGCCAGTAGGAGGTGGAGGTTGATTCGGCCTGAAATCATTGTGTGTCACGCTCCCGGAGTCCAAATTTCAAGTTGTTCCATATAGTTTGGAGCAAGTCCAACCTACATGGAACAACTTGAAAATTGAGGGGGTGTTCGGCCTGAAATCATTGTGTGTCACGCTCCTGCGGCCTGAAATCATTGTGTGTCACGCTCCTCCAAGTTTCAAGTTGTTCCATATAGTTTGGAGCAAGTCCAACCTACATGGAACAACTTGAAAATTGAGGAGGTGTTCGGCCTGAAATCATTGTGTGTCACGCTCCTGCGGCCTGAAATCATTGTGTGTCACGCTCCTCCAAGTTTCAAGTTGTTCCATATAGTTTGGAGCAAGTCCAACCTACATGGAACAACTTGAAAATTGAGGGGGTGTTCGGCCTGAAATCATTGTGTGCTCCTGCGGCCTGAAATCATTGTGTGTCACGCTCCTCCAAGTTTCAAGTTGTTCCATATAGTTTGGAGCAAGTCCAACCTACATGGAACAACTTGAAAATTGAGGAGGTGTTCGGCCTGAAATCATTGTGTGTCACGCTCCTGCGGCCTGAAATCATTGTGTGTCACGCTCCCATCGCAAGTCAGCTTTGATGGCCATTATGGCCTTTACAGGCGTGGCTGGCCCTCCGAAGCTCAATCATGATGCATCGCCAATACGATATCAAATATCAAAATAAAAAATATCAATGTTGAAAGTTTTCCGCCACTGTGAACTCTGCGAAGCCGTACAGATATGAGGATGTGCAGCGTTTGACAGAGCAAGACAAGTCAGGTGAGCATTATCTCTTTTTTTCATCGAAATTATCACGGGAAGAGATCCAAATGACGTGTTCTTGATGCAGGTTGGAATGATTTGCAGCCTTTGGCAACTTGTATGAGATTGATGAACGGGTGAAGACTTTGGCAAGTGCCCAACCAATATTACAAACCGGTATCCAGGAGTACGTAGACGTACCAGTAAGCCGCCCAGCATACAAAACTCTCGAGACAATGGCTGCATACGAAGGGGTTTTCGACACATCGCAGAACTGTCCCGATGTGAAAAGGTTGTGACATGAAATGGGCACAAACAAAGATAAGTTCAGGACTCGGGAGTCGATCAGGTCTAGGCAAAATATTGACATGGTCATCTCACTGCATGGAAGAACATGCAAAACTGAAGGAAAAGCTCAACGGAAAGTTCTAAATGAACAGATACAGCGCATTTTAGCAGTCACGGTCGGAGCAGCTCGATGCTTGAAACAAAGATGATCCTCAGTACAATCGAATGATGACAAGTAAGTCCCGTGGTTCGTGAAGGATTCTTCATCCAATTCTTAAGGATGTGTTGGAACGATGAAACATTTTGCAAATCACCAATTTCATCACACTGACTGATGCATCATGTAAATATTACTGGTGTGAACTTGCATCAGATTCTGTTCATCGGATGAGCCGCTACCAAGCAGTTGATGTCACAGCAAACAAGAGAGCCGTTTTGAAGATGTTGATATTCCTGACCGTAGAGCATTCAAGATGTGGCCACATGTCACATGCTTTTTGGTTAACGCAGATACACCCTCGCCAGGCAAAAGATGGAACGTCTTCAGGATTACAGGGAGGTCGGTTGTGCTTGTACCCTGATTGTAACTCTTCTAATAAAGATATGATAACCTGAATGTGCAATTCTGTTTGTTGATTCACAGTGTTTGCGACTCGATTGCAATCATCGAGTGCTTGCTCTGTTGAACAAGGCACTCCTCTGTAGAGCCATGCGACAAGAACACTACAGTTGCACGGTAGCATTGCGACACCAAGACAGGATTGATCCGATGAACGTCTCATTTATTGATATGCAAAGGCATCATCTGCACATTGCTTCATTTCTGACTAGGTTTCTGTGCAATCGAAATCCTGTGAAAATATCATGACAGAGGAAAAATTTGAAGCGAAACGGAAAAATCATCGAAATATGATCATAGATATAGTGATTCATGATCAACAACGGTTCTCTACAGTCATCTATGCGGGCAGGAACAGTCATCTTCTGTGCAAACGTCTCTTCATGTATCGTTGAACGGTTGAGTGCATGTAAGACTTGCCTCCATAGAAAGGTGAAGTGCATGAATCCTGACTGTAAGACTAGAAGAATTGAAAGCAAGTGATGACATGAGAACACATATCTAGACAGAAAAGTCGCTCAAGGTACAGCTGGATACAAATTTCTCACAAATCACAGTCATGCATTTGAGCGCAACGTGCAACCTACGGCAATTTGAATAAAGGGTCAATCAGAGTTGATTCTGTTCAATGGTGTATCGATTATCAATTCCTTACCTGATCATAAAAATTTCATCTTGTCTTCGAAGAATATTTGCAAGTACACCCGCGGATTGTTTGAACCTAGGGTGCATATTCCATTGCAGGATGGATGATTCAAACCTTGGCCCAACCTGTAGAGTTGAGAAAGAAGCTCGATCATCTCTTACAGGTATGATATGAGATCTTCATCTCATTTCTATCTCAGTTGGGTTGGATTCGAAGTCTCTCAATATCAAAGTTCATCCTGGTGAGTCAGGAAGGCACCATTTCATCGCTTCTTGCTCGTCCAGGGAGAGGGGGCTTGGGGAAGGAGAAATGGGTGTTACCCCCACCCCCTATTGTACAGTTTCAAACTCGTTCAAAGGTGGGTAGTTGAGGGTGCTCCATACCCACCCCACCACCCAAAATGACTCAAACGGAGGGGTTCTCGGATCCGAAGGAGTCCCGCCTCCATCACCCCCTCTCATTTGAATTCAAGATGGTTCAGGCCGACCCCACATACAGGCTTGCAGTTTTCTTATGTATGCCCATATGATTTGATCGGACAGGTGAAGCAAATCACCAGCATGCTTGAAGATTTTTCATGGGAGTGGGATTATACTTGTACCGGATGTGTACAATACATAGGGGAGAACCCCGAATGGTACCAAAAGAGTACCAAAGTCACATGGTTCGGACTGTACTAACTGGTACCAAGAAATTGTACTCAAGAAGACCCTACCCCTGAAAAAGTTCTGCTTGGCTCTTCGTGATTTGAATTCGGAACACGGTCGGAAGACCCACCCCGCCCCCACATGAGGCGTGGTATGCGTGGATTTGAATCTACCAACCTCACCGCGAAACGTTTTAGAGCTCCAAGGTCAATTGAGAAAGGCAACGCTATGGGCTGAAGGCTGCAGTCGGTCTACTGACGGGCCCGGCCGGCAGGATCCGTCGAGAAACAGGGGGGTCAAGGGAGGTTTTCTTCCCCTGGGAGAAAATTTACGGGCCTGCTGACACGGTCCGCTGACCGGTCACGGCCGCCCGGAGAGATCAGGCCCCCGGCCAACCTCCGGACACTTAGCCTCCTGGCGGGCCTCCAGGGGGTCTGAGGCGGGGCTGAAGGCTGCAGTCGGTCTACTGACGGGCCCGGCCGGCAGGATCCGTCGAGAAACAGGGGGGTCAAGGGAGGTTTTCTTCCCCCTGGGAGAAATGTCCTATGGGTTTTTGGATCTGCGATATAAAAAAGTCTTGTCTCGGTCACGTGATGTGTCACGTGACCGGTCAGGTGAGCCTGTCAGCCGGGTCACGGACCCTGTCAGCCGGCTGACATGTCACGGGCCTGCTGACACGGTCCGCTGACCGGTCACGGCCGCCCGGAGAGATCAGGCCCCCGGCCAATCTCCGGACACTTAGCCTCCTGGCGGGCCTCCAGGGGGTCTGAGGCGGGGCTGAAGGCTGCAGTCGGTCTACTGACGGGCCCGGCCGGCAGGATCCGTCGAGAAACAGGGGGGTCAAGGGAGGTTTTCTTCCCCCT